CGCGGACACCATCGCCGCGCGGCCCCCGCCAGCACCACCGCCACCTGGAGGAGGTGGTGCAGTCCATGGGGGCGCAGTGGACCAGTGAGTTGAGTAGGCCTATCGCGGGACGTGCCGTGTCGCCCACCGGCTGCATGGGTGATCTCCCCCCATACTCTTTCTCACCAACCGCAACTATCGGCAAGCGCCGCCGCGGCGTCCACGGAAAAAAAAGATTCGCTGAGCCAGCTAATATATTGACTGGTATCTGGACAGACAACCACATAAACTTTTGTAACCACTATATTGTCTACTCTAATCAATCATTGGCTGTGCCAGTCAAATATTAGCTGTAAGAGCTCATCCCTTACCTAAATCAGTCGAGGTCTACCTTACTGGTGCAGGCAAATCATTACTTCATACAACTTATCTTTGACTAGCACAGCCAATGATTGATTAGAGTAGACAATATAGTGGTTACAGAAGTTTATGTGCTTGTCTGTCCAGATACCAGTCAATATATTAGCTGGCTCAGCGAATCTTTTTAGCAGATGATACCTTACAAACTTAAACTTACTTACACTTAACATACATGTAACTATACATGAGTAATGTAAGGTGTCATTGCTTTTACTCTCGATAAAGAAATATTAAAGAGAACCAGAAGAAAGCTCATATACGTATTGGGCTGGGCCTGCTAGGCGGGATCGTGAGGCGGCGTACGTCGCACGTCGCCAGTCGCCGTCGCGTCAGCCACGCCACGCGTTGTAGCGCTGCTGAGGCGAGCCGAGTTCCCCCGGGCCGAGCCCCGAGCGGAGCCCGAGCCCCGAGCCGAGTCGGCCGCGCTAGCGCTAGCGGCCCCCCTCCCTTCTACCGCTGGAGCCCCCGCACAGCACCGCGCCGCCACCTACCCCCTCCCTTTCCCCACAAGTGTAAATACGGAAATATAATAGACTGGAATAGAATAATTCTTCACAAGGTATCATCTGCTTTCACGATCCGTTTCTGGTCGGAACTTTTTTTTCCGTGTCAGGTTCTCCTTTCTCAGCGACTCGGTGGACTCACACAGGCATGCGTCCTCTTCCTCGTCCTTGGTCTCCCGTCTTTCTCACGTCTTTCCATCTGACCATGCAGAACTGCAGGTCGTGTCCATTTTTAGAGGACCGCATCATAGATCCCCCGCACGCTGGCCCACTTTTCGGCTTTCTCCTCATCCTACACCGCCCGCTATAGGAAAAAGAATGGCCTTAACTGTGTCTTTAAAAAGTGTACTGTAAAGTTCCATACACCCGGAATAACGAACAGGTTTGCATGTCTTCTGTAGCCGTGGCGCCTTAAGAATCCGATCGTATAGGCATCCCGCACGCACACCTGCGTGCTGGCTAGTATGTATACGCATTTCGCTCCTGCTGGCTGGGACGCCCACCCAGTGAGTGTACAATTGCATCTGATGCGATGCGCTCACTTTTACCTTCACACGCTAACCCTTTCGGCTTTGGCGTCACGACGAGAAATGCCCCGGCGACGGGACGCCCACACACGCCGCTTTAGTTGACGATTACGGGGCAGTCAGTTCGACGAGGGCGATTAAGTACCAAACG